AGCAGCGGCCGCTGCAGAGCGGGAAAGGGATGTCTGCAGCACTCCCACCCACACCTGACTTCACGTCTTGCTGCCACCTGGCACAACCGCTTTACACACCAGTAAATCCTAACAGCAGGCTCCTGAGATCAGAATAAAACAAAATCATCACTGATCACTTGTTTCACGTTTAAGAAAAAAAAAAAAACAGTTTTAATGAAAAAATAAAGTTCTGAATTAAACTATAATCATACATGGCTGAAAGTGATGAACTAAAAGAATGGAGATGTTACTTTTTTTTTTCTCTCTGCTGATACTGTAACGTGCCAGACTTGTCAGACACCATCTATTGGGATAAATCTGAAAAGGGAACAGAACAAGAGTCAGTCACATTGATTAGTACCGAACCTCTGTGAAAAAGAGCCAGTTCGCTTGGCAGTTCGCCTTTTCTCGCATAAAAGCTTCAGGAACACGTTCCACAGAGGTCCGGTTGAATTGGAGACACACTGTAAACACAGAGATACCAATTTTCAGAGCAGGTCCAACCCTCACGCAGCTTGTGACTGGGATCTTCCAAAGCCTTTCTGTTTGCAGAGTGAAATGGCAGCATTTGAGAACTTTGGTTATTTTTCTGGCTGCAAAGAACAGTCAGGCAGCCGTCGGGGGCAAGTCTTTGGCAAACTCCTCGGTGGTTCCAGGTAGCTTCTTGAAGGCAGCATACCACGGTCATGGTCTTAAGGTTTTACAGAAGCTGGAGCTGGTTTTCAGAACCCAGAGTCAGTTGTGGCAGCTTGGTGGAACGGGATTTTTGTAGAGAAGCAGGACAGAAGAACAGTTGCACATCGTGCAGCTCCGTCGCCCTGCCCCGGGCCGGCAGACCTCTCACCCCCCGCTCCATGTCCCACGCAGCGGAGCCCCAGGGCACTGCAGTGCCCGACTGTCTGCCCGCAGCTTCGGCAGCCCCGTGTCAGGTGTCCGAAGGAGGGGACCTGGCTCTGTGTTCTGGAAAGACGCGTGGTCCTCACCAGGATGCATCTCCCGAGGAGCCAGTACTCGGATAAGGCGCTGGTCTAACGCGGCGTATCTGCAGGATGAACGTGGACACGTTCCTACTGGTACGGCTGGTCCGCAGCACCAGCCAGCGACTCCCCTCGCCTCATGGTCTCACCAGACCGCACACACATTGTTCATAACGTCAGGGAAATACCCGAAATGCAAACCGACGTTGTGCAACGCACACGGTTTGCTCTGGTCATCGAGGAACGCCGCCGCCATCGCGGTGGCCTCACATACAAGCCTCGACTCCCTGTCCCATTTCTGAACAGATTTCCCTCCAGCCGAGGCCCTAGGAAGCCCCGTTGAGGGACTGCAGAGTCAGTGGGGGCCTCAGCGCTCTCCCGTCCTCCTCACGCTGGATGGATCTTCATTGCACTTCACCTGGCTAGCTGCATAGCCTGCACTTGCTTTTATCTGTGTAATTTGCAACCAATCGGTTAAAGATTCCCGTCTTTTGATCATAAATCCAGTCTCAAAAAACAAACAGCAAAACCAAAAGTCAACTCAGCTGTAGCACTTGGATGGAAATGATCAAATCTCAAACCAGACCTGCCAGGTTCTAAGTTTACTACAGCCCCTTTTACAGTCCACGTTTAAATTTTGGGCTGAGAAAAGGGAGAGTCATCGTCTTCTTAAACAGCACCTTGGAGTTTAACGAAGGGCCGGGAAACACAGCTAACGGTATCGCCCCGTACACACATTTGAGCCAATCATGCAAAACAAAGTCACGAAAAATCACTGTAAGAAGAAACCTTCTAGGAAGAAATCTGGTGTCGCTAATCCCCAGCACTGCCTGTCCAGAACAGGGGCTGCTCCCTTCCTTGAAATAGGCCGGTCCCTCGGCACAGGAGGAAGTCCAGTTTTCACCTGAACAATGCCAAATCACTGAACTCCCCTCCTGCCCGGCCCGCTGACGAGGAGGCGGATCGCACAGAGGTCGGTGGGCATTGATGCTCACTCCTACAGAGCCTTAGGATATCTGAGATGGATAGATACGGACAAATGGGCAGGTATAATATTACATTAAAATTAAAACACATGGCCATTTACTTTTCAGACTCCACACAGATTCCCTCGTCCTCCCTCTTCGGAGGAGAGCGAGTTTCCTAGCACAGAGGAGGTTTGCAGTTTCCCGATGGGGTGAGAAAACATACGTGGCAAAGGTATTATACATTCCCCAGACATCACCCAGTTCGTCGTTTTAACCAGACAAAACCCCACCGAGCGCCGGGAGCTCAGTCTGTCCCTGGAGCTGATCGGTATCCAGCAGCAGTCTTGACCAGCTGGTCTCTTCCAGCCCCAGCTGCCCACGACTCGGCGGTTCCTCGTCCCTGTTGCCGCAGGCCGGCCAGGCAGCCCTTCCGCCTGAGCAGCAGCAGTTCGGGGGAGCTCTCCCTGGCCTCCTGGCCGGCGTCCGTGGCTCGCCCGCCCGCCCAAGCAGCGCACCAGCACGCGCCTCCCTCCCCTAGTCCAGAAAGCGCCTGCGCGAGCCCGTCCGGGAGCGGTTCGAACGGCGAATGTCAAACTTGGAGTCCCGGCACTTCTGGCATATGTAGACCTCTGGGACGTTCGACTTGCGGATTTTGGCGCAGGAGAGGTGGATCCAGGTGTGGCACTCGTTACACTCGATCATCGGCCGCCCGGCGAAAGGCTTCATGCAGAAGCAAGTGACGAGGTCCCACGAGTCGTCGTCTGCAAAGAGAAACAGCAAGCGACGTTTTTAACGGCCGACGCCTCACCCACGCCAGGAATTTACTCTCCTTTTGCACTAAACTTACTACCTGGGTTTCAGACAGGCACTTTGCTGATCTTTCCAGGTCTCTCTTGCACGGGAAGAGACTCTCAGCAGTACAAGAGAGGCCATAGTCAGGAGAGGAGAACCGTCTGCTTCTACAAAGTCGCAGCTTTTTGCTCAGTTTATTGCGAAAGCAGCCAACCGCCCCCTCGCTTCCCCCCAAAAATCCAAGCGCTGCTCGATTCTGCCCAGGCAGCGCACCTTAGCGCTATCCCCCTGCTCCAAGCAAAGAACCAAAGAGATCAGCAACAGCAGCGCCGCTTCCACCTGGCTAATCCCCTTTCGACAGCCAGGCCACCTACCTGAATCCACCATGATGTCCTCGTCGTCACCAGTACCATCCTCATCCCGAAAGACCACCTGCTTGCCCTGCCGAATGACCGTTCGTTTGCCCACGCTCTGGATCTCCACCGTCTGCTCGGCCGACACGGCAGGGTAGGAGACACTGGAAGGTGTGTCAGAGTCCCACACCGAGCAGTGTTCTGTCGCAGACTGGGGGTCACCCTCAGAAGAGGGGCTCATCGGTGTCTCTACGTAAGAGTCCTCCGCCTCCAGCTCCAGAAGCTTCTCCTCGTAGTCCTCCTCCGCAGACACCTCCGTTTCCCTCCTCTTCAGCTTCTTCTTCTTCCTGATCTTATCGATTTGCTTTCGCTCCGGCAGGAAGTTGCCGGGTTTTGCCCGCTGGAACAGGGAACCGTAGGGTTTCGCTCGCTTGAGCTGACTGAAGCTCTTTCTGTTCTTGGCGGGCAGGGAAACGGAAGAGGGGATGTCATTGAACCGGGGGTCCCAGCTATCGCTGTCAATCGTGCCTCCGGTGCTGTTGGGGGGGCTGGGGCTGTTCCGCAGCGGCGTTTCCTGGAAAACGCCGAGAAAGCCCGTAAAAGCGTGAACCGGGAGCCGACCGGCG